AAAAGCCTGTCTCCTGCCAGCAATCCTTTAGAGAGGAACCCTTATTCTTTGTGTGGAAGCAATTGTCTCTCTGAGGAGGTCTAACACCCCATCTGCTAACTTAGACCTTTATATCTGCAAAGAGCAAATCTCCTGCTTCCTGCTGATTAAAGAACTCTAGCTCTGACTCAGCAGAAAGTGTGTCGGACCTCTACAGAGGGACCACTGCTTCCACACAAAAAAACAGTTCATCTCTGCAGCATGCTGGCAGGGGAGGGCTTTTCTGCTCAAGCTGTGGCTGCTTTCTAAGGCTTTGTTCATATGTGTGGCACTCTCTACCACCCCTCAGAAAGGTGGAGTGTGATGGATCACTTTTCAGAAGGCAGCAGAACAGTAGTTGCCAGGTTTTCAAGAGCTGATCCTGCCCCCTTCTCAATGCTCATTTGTGGTTGCAACCAAATAGGGATATTTCTATTGCAAAACCTTTCTGCAACCATGAGCCAAACATTTCACCAAGTGTTGCTGTACTGACCCTTTTACTTGCATGGGTTGCATTAGGTGGTTGTACTACCTTCCAAATATGACATGTTATATAATTTTTGCTGTGCAGCAAAGCAAAACATCTTGCCTGTGGAAATATTTACTACCACTTCTAGCCAGCTTTGGCCAATTTAGGTGAGTGATTGGGGGCAGTAAAAACATGGATTAGGCTGCTTGTTTTTAACTCTCCCCCCAGCTGTCCATGGTTAACCTCCTTAGCGGTAATCCCGAGTGTAGCTCAGGGTAAAATTTCTATACCAAGAGCGGTAACCCCGAGCTACACTCGGGCTTACCATGCGGCGCTGCTCTGGGGGTCCCTGCAGAACTTACCTTGTCCTTCACTCCCGCGATGTGTCCCCTGCAGCAACCCCGGCCATCTCCTCCGGCCGATGCCGGCATCCGGCTTCTGGGTTCTGGTCCCTGTGACGTCAGGACGTACGGGTGCCGGAACCGGCGGGAAATTTGAAATTTTTTAAAAAATTTTATTTTTGCTGTCATTGCTGTTTCAATGCATTTCACATATATTTTGTCCCTACTGCTTTGTCCTGTGCCCTGCCTGCATTTTGAATGTTCTTTCTGCCTGGAAACTTAGAAAATTCCATGGCGACCAAAAAGCATCCCTTTACGTCAAAAGCTGTTTTAGAGCAGCAATAGTAAATCAGAACCACTTGCAGAATTGAGTGATAATGATTCGTGGGGAAATTCGTCATCAGACACTGAAAACGATTTTGCGACTTTGCTCAGCGATGTGCGAATTTGCCTCTGTATTTCAAATTTCAGTGTTTTTGGTTTGATTATATTATTGAATTAAATGTATTATTATTATATTATTATTATTTTTTATGATTATTTATTAAATTATAATTTATGATTTCGTGTTTCAAATTTTATCATATCCGGAATGTTTACTAGACTCTTGTTCATACAGATTTCAGTGAGTTATTCCTAAAAATTACAGCCTACAATAAAAAACTACATATTTCCATGCAAAAAAATGGTACCGCGTTCAGCACCAAAAATCGGAAAGAATCATACCGCCAAGGAGGTTAAGAGACCTAAAAAAACACATGACCTAGCACACCTTTTGATTTGATGCACCCAGAATGTATTTAGCTGATACAGACTGAAAGTTCAGTAGGATTTTACACTAAACAGCCAGAGTTTCAACACTGTAACGCCTCTTGTTTTAATATTTATAACTGTTTTGTTATGTTACCTAATTACAGGATGGGGGAAATCTGCAGTCAAGTATGCCATTTCTGCAATTGTAATTACAATCCAAAAGTTACTGGTACATTTTTTATCTTGAACAAGATATACAAATGATCATAAAAAGAGCGCAGTTATTAATTAGCACATTAAATGCTGGGGGTTAATCTTTTCATAAGCTATGCCCAGCTGCCTGTTTGCCTGATTACACTGAGTACAGGACATCTTTGCCACTTTGCAGCTCATCTCAGCAGCATGCTTTATATACAATGATACATCATATCGGTTTTTGCAGCCAAACTCTTCTTGGCAATAGCACCATGTGAACCACATCTGTCATTCCTTCCTATTGCAATTGAAATTCTTGCAGACATGATTCTTTGTAAGCAAAACAGCAAATAACAGATAATAACAGACAATTGGATTAGACAGAATATGATAACATAGAAATGTTTATTGTATATAAATTGTTGATAACTATGTGCAGCTTTGACATTAGAGATTAGTAAGGATTCAGATTCGGGTTGTTGTATTGTGCTACATTACTGTGCTCACTGTGCATAGACCCAACAAGCCTTTTTAGAACTACCTTTTTGTGTGTCAAAAAATGCTTTAGTTGCTGCTCAGTTTCTGTGCCCCCTTGCAGTTATTTACCTTGTTTTGTTTTATTTTGTTGGTTTTATTTCACTTTTATTTCATTTCCTTTTTAAATTCAGCCAGGTTTTAAATAAATGCAAAAAAGAGGTCAGGTTTTAGTTTTTTAGTGTTGGGGTTTAGTGTTTCAGTGTTTAGTTTTTAGGAGTTATATTTTATTGTAATACAATGTTGCTAGGGTCTTTTTCTTTTTAGGGTTAGCATTGTGAACCTGTGATTGACAAAGGCAATGCTGCTCTTTAATAAACTAAACAACCCCCAACTCTGCATTTTGTGTCCTATATAAAATACCTACTACTACTGCTGCTGTATGGTATTACCAGTGCCATGACAAGGTCATCCAGTGCCCAAGGCAAACTGCGCACCCCCCCCCCCCCCCCCAAGGTAAGAGTCTCTCAAATACATATAAACCTCATCACAATAATTAAGGAAAAAAACACTGCCATTACATATGCTTTTGTGCACAGTGAAATAGATAGTTAACATTTTGTCTGAGCCTACCTTAAAGGAAAAGTACAGCCAATGCTTTTTTGGATCATAGGACTGCACTTCTGTGATCCGTTTTCAGTGACAGCGTACTGAAGCCCGCTGTCAGCTGATGTCACTTAGCCAGTCCAGGCTGAGGAAACGCTGAGAGCCTGAGCCAGCCACTCCCTTCCCCTCCACAGCACAGCACTCCAGTGAACCTGGGGGGGAAGATGCAGAGCAGAGAGCGGTGACTGACAGTCACCACTCTCTGCTTACAGCAGCAGTGAGAACTCAGTGATCGGCGGTCATGTGATCACTGAGTTCTCACCTTTAAAGCTGGTGGGGGACCAATGCTGCCTCCACCTTTTTAAGAATAATTTGGAAAATAAAAAAAGCCCCACACTTCCCTTTTAAAGAAGAACTTCATTAAATTAATCAGGGCCTGCTCAGAAACAAGTAACTGTTGAAATAACGATCACTTTGGTGAGATGTATTTATTGTTCATTATAGTGTAGTGTAGGAGTGAGTCTGTAAGGCAGAGTGCAGAAGTCAGGAGTGTATAATGCAAAGAGTTCAAATGTAAGGACTATGTAGCACACTGAGAGCTGCAGCCAGTGTCGGGTTTAGGAGTATAAAACACACAGAGAACAGGGGTCAGAAGTATGTAATAGACAGTATGCAGGGGACAGGAGTGTGTAAAGCACCATAGGGATCAGCACAAATTCCTCCCCCTAAATTTCTTCTGCCTTTACAAACCCTCTCTCCCTTTCTAGAACAAATCTTCTCCATCCAATTCCCTTCCTAGAATAGATCTTTTTATGCCTAGGGGAAGCCTCTCCATCTCTGTTTGCCTAGTGTAATAGGCAGGGAGGGATGATGCAGAAGTTCTGCGCTGGGAACACATTGCTCTCCCTACACACCCCTTGTTCCATCCCTGGGTATTACACAACTGCAGTAATTAAATCAATAAACCATACACAAAATACACATACATTCAAATAATAACACATAAATAGGGAGAGAAGTCTAACAAAGGGTTGGAGAATCTTAATTTATGGCAAATTAAGCCAGGAAGAGGGTCAGTATGGGGTCATGTTGAGTAGGGCAAAGGGTAGGCTTGAACCTCACTATAAGTCTCCTAACCCCAACCCAATCACCTCTAGGCACATCCTTTACCAGGCAGGTGTCTCTTCCACAGCTGCTGGAGTGCAAGGAAAACTTGTTCCCTAATTAATATTATTATTATTATTATACAGTGTTTATAAAGCGCCAATGGTTCGCTCAGCGCTGTACATTACAAAGGGGGACAGAACATAATCAACCCAATGCCCAGCATCTCAATACCAGCTTGGCAATATTCATTGCTTTACAGCTGCTTTCATTCCAACTGGTAAAGTAAGCTCCATTGCATGAGTTTAGGCCTGAGCTGCACCACAGTGAAAGGTACCTATACAGTAGGTAATGGTTTCTTGTCACTGTGCTGCAAGGTCAATGGCAGGGTACACATGAGCACACATATATGGTCCAGCAAGCATGGGAACAGAACATCTCCTTTATGGCCTCTTTAATGTGTCACTAGCAGGAGCAGGCCATCAACAAGTATCTGTGTGAATATGGGAGGAGGCTCTGGGGTTCTTTTTACTGCGTAAATGGCTCCTGATTCAGGATGTTTTCAACAATACTGTAGAACAGGCATGTCCAAAGTCCGGCCCGCGGGCCAATTGCGGCCCGCGTTCTGGACTGAAACGGCCCCACAGGTGAGCTACCAAAATATATAACTTACGGCCCCCGGTAGTGATTCCCTGAAAGCTACTGAGGACTCCAGCTATCTCTTGACATCATCAGCTGGCGCAGGAAGGAGAGCCCAAATCTCGCGACATCCGAGATCTCGTGAGATTTGGGCTTTCCTTCTCTGTGTGCCGGCTGATGACGTCAATTCCCGCTCGACAGATCCCTGGAGTCCTCAGTGGCGTTCGCAGAATCACTAGTGGAGGGCCGTAAGTTATATATTAGGCAGCTCATCTGTGGGGTCCGGAACGTGGGCCGAGGGATCCCAGGTGGTGCGCAGGGAATTACTACTGGGGCTACCATTTACCGTATTTTTCGCTCCATAAGACGCACTTTTTTCCCCCCCAAAAAGGGGGGGAAATGTCAGTGCGTCTTATGGAGCGAATATAAAGTGGCTGGTCCAGTATTTCTGCCGCCACCATGTCAGAATACCGGGCCGGCCGCTCAGCTGTTGTCTCCTGCAGGGCCTTACCTGTTCCTCGCTCCAGCGCTGCACAGTCTTCCCGCGCTGGCTTCTGTGACAGCCGGGTGCCCACTGCGCATGCGCTTTGCTTTGTGAATGGTCATCGCAGTCTCTGGTCATCTGTACTGTGTCCGCAGTCTCTGGTCATCTCCTGTACTGTGTCCGCAGTCTCTGGTCATCTCCTGTACTGTGTCCGCAGTCTCTGGTCATCTCCTGTACTGTGTCCGCAGTCTCTGGTCATCTCCTGTACTTTGTCCGCAGTCTCTGGTCATCTCCTGTAGTATGTCCGCAGTCTCTGGTCATCTCCTGTACTGTGTCCTCAGTCTCTGGTCATCTCCTGTACTGTGTCTGCAGTCTCTGGTCATCTCCTGTACTGTGTCCGCAGTCTCTGGTCATCTCCTGTACTGTGTCCGCAGTCTCTGGCCATATCCTGTACTATGTCCACAGTCTCTGGCCATCTCCTTTACTGTCCGCAGTCTCTGGCCATCTCCTTTACTGTCCGCAGTCTCTGGCCATCTCCTGTACTATATCCGCAATCTCTGGTCATCCCCTGTACTGTGTCCTCAGTCTCTGGTCATCTCCTGTACTGTGTCCGCAGTCTCTGGTCATCTCCTGTACTATGTCTGCAGTCCATTGGTTCAGAATTTTTTTTCCTGTTTTTCGCCTCTAAAACCTAGGTGCATCTTATGGTCAGGTGCGTCTTATGGAGCGAAAAATACGGTATCAATTTGGGCTATAATGGATTGGTGCTCAGGATCGCTTGACGTCATCAGACAGTGCAAGGAGAAACAAAACCCAAATCTCGCGACCTCCGAGATCTTGCGAGATTTGGGCTTTCCTTCTCCCTTTTGCTGGCAGAGTGATTTAACACCTGTTTAGATTTGTCATCCAAGTCACAAAATGAAAAGTATGCCGTTTTCAATAAAATTTTGCATAAAATAGTTCATTTGCATTTAATTTTAATGGTTCATCAGAATGTCGGGCAAAATGGTCGGCCCTCGCACATGTTCACTTCATCAAATCTGGCACTCTTCCAAAAAAGTTTGGACACCCCTGCTGTAGAACAACCTCAACCCCACTGCCACACCAGGTTAAGCAAATGGATACTGCACTGCTACTGGCAGCACCAACATAGATACCCAGTGCACAACTACGTTTTAGTATCAAAAATCAAACATCAGACTGGTTAGTGGAAAATGATCCCAACATACTGTTAAGGGTTGCAGTAAATAGCAGTATGCACATAGATGAGTAAGTAAAGGATTATGTCAATCACATTTCACTAGACAATATAGTCACCAGGCTATAGCAGCATAGAATAAAGTGCTATGCAGCTAAATTAAATCCTGTAATCAACAAAATCAGCAATAGTTAAAACATTAGAAAGCAGTAACCGCAATGTCGATCAGTACTGTGGTAACTTCTCTTAAATTTCTTCTAAATAGTATTCACTTTAGAGTGCACTCTATATGAATTGAATCATTGAAATGTAAGGCTCCCTAAAGAGGTACCTCTTACAATGGACAACAGGCAAAGCTCTTGTGAAGCAGTCTTTAGCTCTAGTTCATCAGCCTGCTAGCTTTGGGGCCCAATGTTCATGATGGTGCCCATCAGTACAGTCCCAGTAAAGTCTGAATACAGTAACTAATGCTGTTATTTATATGGCCAGTCCCTGTGTTCAGTCTTTGCTAGCTGCAAAAGGTTAATGGCAGCAGTGTCCTCTCACCAGTACCAGTGATACAGCAACAGAGATCCCGCTGTTCAGATGTTAGTTCACTTCTGGATCTGCCTGGAGCAACACCATTCCTCAGTACTCAGTTTAACAGCACTCTGGTGCCTGTCTCAGCCATTGGCTTGTAATAGGTGGATGTGTATGCAGGAGCAGTGATGTGCACATCTTGGTCTCCTTGCAGCAAAGAGGAAATCCCTCAGTATTCAGCCCATGAATAAACAGTTTCTCTCTCATTATACTCATCTCACATTGGGGGTTGTAGAACAGTAGTCCATTAACTGCCATAGTAAAGTTTATTTCCTGAACATCATCTACCATGATTCAGTTCTGCCAACCATCAAGTCTCTTTAGCTCCTTCCACTTTTCAGCTCCTCCTGGGGGATGGAGGCAAGGTAGTGTTCACCCATTCAGCTGAAGTCCATTTGGGAGCCTAGAGAGCACTGAAGCACAGTGTCCTAAATCGCTCTCTGTCGCTAACCAAGCACCATTACATTACATCGAGTTTATATAGCGCCAAAGGGTTTGCTCAGGCTGTACAATAGAGGGGGGGACAAGGACCAGGCTATACAAGGATGGTAAAGCATGATGAATGACACAATCCCTCTCGTGTTCCTACTGAAGCACACACTACAGAGGCAACAGATTGGACACTGGAGGCACTGCACAGGAGGAAGAGCAGGATTTCCTACTGTCAAGTGTCAGAAGACTCCTTTAACTGCAGCCTCCATCCCTGTGAGGCTGAGGCAGAAGAGAAGTACAAGGAGGAGGTTTGGGGTGCTGGGTGAGGAGGTGGAGGAAATTGAGCCGGCTTCCAGGGGGATGTTTCATCCCTCTTATACCACAGGGGTTATACGTGGATGGGGTCAAATTGTTGAGGGCACTGTTGACTCAGGTCTCTGCTCTAGGACGATGAAGAAGAGGGACCATTACTAAGTGGCCACACTTTTGGTACCCAAATACAAAATTTAAAATGGCAGTGCTCATACTATCATCCCAGAGGAAGTGAAAAATGCTCCACTTAGAGTGTTTACTGCAGAGTAAAACATGCTCTGTGTCTCTTAGTTTGCAGGCCATTGCAGTGCTCCAGCACTCAAAAATATTTGTGACCATATTCTCTCTGAAGAAATACACTCAAACTTTTATTTCCTAATACAACGTGCCTCGTCTTTTAATCTTACTTTGTGGCCTAATAAAGTTACTAACATACTTCGCTTTGACTGTAAAATATTTCTGGCTCTTGTCTCTGTAAAAATACACACAAATTTGTATATATTGATAAAACCTGTCCCATCTCGCCCTCTTTATTTGCAGCCTAATCATGCTACTTACATAATGTGCAGTAAGTGTACAATATTTGTGGGCATTGTCTCTGAAATAATACACATTACTTTTTAATTATTGCTAAAACTTACAGAGTTAGTTTTTTTATGAAAATATGAACTTACCCTTTAAAGCCCAACCCTGGGCTCATGAGAAAAATACCCTTTGCAAGGGGGCCCACACACTGTTCAGTAACTCCAGGGCAATGGAAAAGGCTCTATGACTTATCATATCCTTGGCTCGAACAGGTTCCAGCACTTTATGCCCTTATCCCTGGCATGCTGGACTCTAGGCTGGCCCATCTGCACCATCATCATCATGTACAATGCAGGACTATTGTGCATACATTGTGTGTAAGGAGGTAAGCATGTGACTGCAGCCAGAAGTACCTTAGAGAGGCAGCTGAGGTGACCAGTCACATAGAAAGAAAAATCTAAGCATTTAAGCATTTACCCATGCAGTGTGGGGGGAGGCCCCACTACAAGGTTATTTTTTTCCTATCTTGTCTTAACCAAGTTGCTTACATATGGTGCAATGACTGTATCCCTCAACAATTTGACCCCATCTCCTGCTATTTTCTTTGAAAAAACAGTCTGATTTTTACTTCATGATAAAACTGTCTTGTCTCTCCCTCTTACATTGCAACCTAATCATGCTGCTTACATACTCCGCAGTGGCTGTACAATAGTTCTGGCTATTGTCTCTAAAATGATACACTCTAATTTTCATTTTATGATAAAACGTCCCTCATCTCTTCCTCTTACATTGTGGCCTAATCAAAGTGCTTATGTACTGTGCAGCAACAGTAGAAAAATTACAGCTATTTACTCTGAAACATTACACTCCAATTTTGTTTCTTGATAAAACCTGTCCATGAGAATCATATTGTCCTGTATCACTACATTCAGCTTAAAGTCATCCCTCAAGCATGTGATTGAAATGATTTGTGTTTGCCAATGTAATCCTTGAAGTTGCATAAAAAAGAAGGACTCTCTCCCCTGGTTATGGTATTTTTTTACATTTTCTTTTTTTGGTACATATTCCCCCTGGAAAGTTCCACCTTCATGTAGCATCATGACATTACAGTGATTATTAAGGCAAGTTGTTTGTTTTTTTTTTAACAAACATGTCATACTTACCTGTTCTGTGCAGTGGTTTTGCACAGAGTAATCCCGATCCTCCTCTTCTCAGGTCCCCCCACCAGTGCTGATGGGCCCTCCCTCCTGCCAAGATCCCCCAGAGCAAGCAGCTTGCTGTGGGGGTAACCCAGCCGGATTGCTTCCAAGCCGCTGATTTGCCTTTCAATTAACGCCACCTCTCTCTCCTCATTAGTTAATGGCTCCCGCTGCTCTCACAGCCAATGGGGAGGGAGAGTCCCCGGAGAGCTGAGGCTTTCGTGCACATCGCTGGATTGGGATGGGGCTCAGGAAAGTATTTGGGGGGGGGCTGCACACAGAAGGTTTTTTACCTTCATGCATATAATTCATGAAGGTAAAAAACCTTGAGCCTTTACAAGCACTTTAAAGGCTGGTTTACATAGTTTTATAATATTTATTTTACAGGGTGTATACCTGAATATATGTATTCTCAGCCCCACCTTTTAATTTAAATATACATAGCCTGAAACTCCAATGCACCTAACAGACCAATTCTTGGTGAGTAGGGAAACAATACCATAGGTTTTCTAAGCCAGTTTTACGTGACAGAGCAAAATATATCTGTATATTTTGTCATGGACAAAAATAGTTTAATGTCTTTAGAGGCATAACAGAACAAGAAAGGCAATAGGCGTGTACAGATGATCCAACAGGCAGCAGCAAATTAAGTCATCATGGAGAGTAGCATAAAGACATGATTACACTTCAACCTTTTGATCCTCAAAGGATGCTGTGCAATAGGACGTACAACATCCTGCATTCCATGCCTCATGAATTACAGTGATAGGCAAGAGCTATTTACCATAAATGGTGTCACCTTGTTACGGTCAGTGAAAGCTAAGATGACATGTCACAGGATAGTGAAAGCTAAGATGACAAGGATAAAGATCTCATAATATGGTTTAATAACATGGAGCTGGTAACTTGGTAAAATATGATGCTAGTTGCTTAATGGGATACGGTATACCTAATGAACACATCTGGAGAGTGGAACACATCCAACGTCATTTATAGGAGAAATGTCAAA